TTACTATCGCTGTTCTCTAGCTGGTCTAAAACAGCTTTTGACCTAAAGGGATGCTTTTTGGACGCCATGGACGTTTCTCAGTTTCCAGGCAGAAAGGTACAAGGTAAAAATGCAGGCAGGGCACAGGACAAAGCACTAGGGACAAAATGTATGTGAAATTGGTTTGATACAGTAATGTTTTACTATGTGATTTTAGTGTATTGAGTGAATATCACTTTTTAACATTTTTAAATTTCCCGCCAGTTACGTCCCCCGTACGTCCCGACGTCACAGGGAACGAAGACGGAAGACAGATGCCGGCATCGGCCGGAGGAGATGGCCAGGGATGCTGTAGGGAGGACATCGCGGGAGCGAAGGAGAAGGTAAGTGCAGAAGAGATCCTGGAGCAGCGCTGCAAGGTATTCCCAAGTGTAGCTCGGGTTACCGCTTTTGGTACTGAAACTTTACCCCGAGCTACACTCTGGAATACCTCAAGGGCGGTTAAGGACCGGTCCCACGCTCCTCGTTATTTTATTTTTTTTTTCAAATTTGGTTGAAATCTTTACGGTTTCGAAAGACTTTTCGAATTTTGTTGAATCAATTTCAAATTTGGTTGAACCATTTTCGAGTACGAACAACTTTTGAATGTGGTCGAAATTTTTTCAAATTGAATTCAAATACAAATTACCGAAACGAATCCTGAAAATGAATTGAACGAATTTGCCAAATCCAACTACATGAAATTTGTTAGATTTCAAAACTAAACGGAACACAATTTTTTGTTTTGTACATGTCTAAGAGAAACAAAATGAAAAAACACGTTTTATAATGTGCATCAACGTAACGCGTGATAGTGCATACCTCAAAGGTTTCTGAAAGGATAAACAGGGACACCTTTTAGCGCATAGTATGTAGGCAAAGGACATACCCCTGCTATGGACCACAAACACCTAGTATGAAGAAAATCATTGGCTAAGGGCCTGTTCACACAGGGCGCAGACATACATCTGAAACGCAGGGCAGTCATGAGGATACGGTGCTGTTGTGTACATCCCCATACCAGCGTCCCATCCATTTTAAGTGGGACATGCGGCTGCACAGCCACTGTGTCCTATTATAATATGGGGGTGGGTTTGGGTTCCTGAACACATACAGGATGCATTTGTGGTCCTACACCAACCTGTATGTTACAGTATATTAGGACACAGTGGCTGCATCCCAGACACATCTGCATTCAATATACTATGCTTGCAATGCTTAAACACACACAAAATGTTTGTGCATAGACTTGAATGCCTCATCTGCCATTCCTAGGGAATGTGTAGGAACTCCATTGTTACAGGTCATAGTTGGGGGGATATCTGGAAGGGATGATTTACTAATCGCATACAGATGGGGACACAACAAATATGAATGCTTACTTAGTTTAGTATATAATTGATTGCTTCAGTGATTCAGTCATGTGCAAACAAAAATCCAGTTTTATTTTGACTTTTCACTTGCACATGTTTGGGTATTCAAATTGAAAACAGTTTCACCTTATTTACTAAACAACCTTACCAGACACAATTTAAACATGAATAGATGGCAAACTAGAGAGTGCAGTGAGGTCACCAGGAAGCCTGTTTGTTAGTTTCAAGGCAGTCTGCTAGAACGGCTATTACAAGTAGATGTAAATTCTAACTGACTAATATTTACTTTTTAGCACTGTGTAGAATACACAATTGGGGTGCTAATTTTTTTTTAATAAAATACTGTTTTACCTTTTTTCATTTCTTTGTTGCATTATTATAATTTGTATTATTATATGGGACTCATGTAATGCTAACAGTTTGCTCAGCACGTTAAAATATAAAGGGAGACAATACAGCAACAATACAATTCAATACAAGAGAGTTAGGAGGTCCCTGCACCTGGGAGCTTGCAGTCTAATAGGGAGGGGCTGGTGGAAGGTAATAATGGTGGGGGGGATGAACTGATGGGAGAAAAAGAAGATTTGGTTATTATCTGAAGGCAGGATAGGCTTCCTTGAAGAGATACGTTTTCAAGGATCACCTAAAAGTGGATAGAGTAGGCAGTAGCCAAATAGATTGGGGTAGGGAGTTCCAAAGGATGGGAGACGCTCTGGAGATAAGCATGAGAAGAGGAGAAGAGGAGGCAAGGGAGGTAGAGAGCAGGAGGTCTTGCGAGGAGCAGAGAGGATGGTTTTGCTGATATTTGGGGACAAGATTGGTGATGTAGCTGAGGGCAGAATTTAAACAGTGTGTGTATTTTGTATGTTATTGTTAATGTTTTGAATTTTATTCGTTGGGCAATGGGAATCCAGTGGAGGGATTGGCAGAGAGGGGTGGCAGATACAGAACGGTTAGTAAGATGGATGAGTCTGGCAGCAGCATTCATGATAGACTGAAGAGGGGATAGCCTGCGATGAGGTAGGCCAATGAGGAGGGAGTTACAATAGTCAAGGCGAGATATAACAAGGGAGTGGATAAGTTGCTTAGTGGTTTCCGTGGTTAGGAACGGACGTATCTTGGAGATGTTGCGGAGGTGAAGTCTACAAGATTTGGACAGTGATTGGATTTGGGGCTGAAAGGACAGATGGGAGTCTAGGATTACGCCTAGTACCCTGGCATGAGGGGAGGGAATGATGATTGTATTATTGATCTTGATGGAGAAGTCAGGGGAGGGGACACGGACTGGGGGGAATACTAAGAGCTCAGTTTTGAAAAGATTGAGTTTGAGGAAGTGGAGTGACATCCATGCCGATATGTCACTTAGTAGGTTAGTAATGCGAGAGGAGACTGAAGGGATGAGGTGAGGGGTAGAAAGATAGATTTGTGTGTCATCAGCATAGAGATGGTACTTAAAGCCATGGGAGTTTATCAAGTGACCAAGGGAGGAGGTGTAGATGGAGAAGAGAAGAGTTCCAAGGACAGAACCCTGAGGGACCCCTACAGAAAGTGGAAGTGAAGAGGAGGGGGCAGGGTCATAGGTAATGCTGAAGGAGCACTGCGAAAGGTATTAAGAGAACCAGGAGAGAGCAGAGTCTCTGAGGCCAAGAGAGTGGAGTATTTTGAGGAGGAGGGGATGGTCAACAGTATCAAAAGCTGCAGAGAGGTCAAATAGTAAGTATGGAGTTATTATTATTATTATACAGGATTTATATAGCACCAACAGTTTGCTCAGCACTTTACAATATAATGGAAGACAATACAGCAACAATACAGTTCAATACAAGAGGGTTAGGAGGGCCCTGCTCCTTGGAGCTTACAATCTAAGAGTATTATTATACAGGATTTATATAGCGCCAACAGTTTGCTCAGCACTTTACAATATAAAGGGAGACAATACAGCAACAATACAGTTCAATACAAGAGGGTTAGGAGGGCCCTGCTCCTTGGAGCTTACAATCTAAGAGTATTATTATACAGGATTCATATAGCGCCAACAGTTTGCTCAGCACTTTACAATATAACGGGAGACAATACAGCAACAATACAGTTCAATACAAGAGGGATAGGAGGGCCTACAAAAGGTAGTAACTGTGGGGGATGGACTGGTTGGAAGAGTAGAAGATTCCATTATTAGCTGAGAGCAGGATAGGCTTCCCTGAAGAGATAGGTTTTCAGAGATTGCCTAAAAGTATGCAGAGTAGGCAACAGTCTGATAAATGGGGGTAGAGAGTTCCAGAGGATGGGGGAAGCTCTGGAGAAGTCCTGGAGATGAGCATTGGAGGAGGAGACAAGGGAGCTAGAGAGTAGGAGGTCTTGTGAGGAGAGGAGAGTACGGTTTAGGTGATATTTAGTGACAAGATTGCTGATGTAATTTGGGGCAGAGCTATAAATGGCTTTATATATTATTGTTAATGTTTTGAATTTTATCTGTTGGCCAATGGGAAGCCAGTGGAGGGATTGGCAGATACAGAACGGTTAGTAAGGTGGAGTAAGTTGCATATCAGTGTAGCCGATCTACTGAGGTCTCTTTGCAGCCACTTTCTGTCTCCATGCATACACTGCAGCAACTACTGAATGGCATTCCTCAGCTGGTGGGTAGGAGTCTCTTACAAGCTAGACATCTGCTTTAAAGCTGAACTCTAGGCAAATGGCTGAATACACAGCTGAAGAGAACAAGAGCATGTCCAGGTTACCAGCTTGGTAAGAACAATAGCGATTTTCTAACATTCCCAAAGTAGCTGATTGCTATCCTTTCAGGGAATGTACTGTATGTGAAGGTTGGATTGTTTCCATAGCTATAGGAAATATCCAGTCTATCTGAAATTGTCCTCACTTTGCAACAGACAACATGGGGTTGATTTACTAAAACTGGATATTGCAAACTCTGGTGCAGGTCTGCATAGAAACCAATCAGCTTCCAGGTTTTATTGTTAAAGCTTAATAGAACAAGATGAAGTTAGATGTTGACTGGCTCCCATGCACAGCTGCACCATATTTTGCACTCTCCAGTTTTAGTAAATCTCCCCCCGTATGTTTACAGGTATGTTTAGGCTATGCACAGATGGGCAGATCTTGTCACCAACCACAATATCTTCCTATCCAGCTATGGCACCTGATTTGTTAGATTTGTTGAGGGGTGCACATAGGGACAAGAACAATAGGCATATAAAGAGATGTTACTGACATCCCTTGAACATGCTAGTTGCCTGGCTGTCGTGCTGATACTATAGATTCACTGACCTGAAACAATCACACAGATCAGATGTTCTGACTTCACTTGCTGTATGCTAACTTCATGTGTGACCTAAAAAATGATTGAAGCCAGAGGATAAGCATGACAGCCAGACACACAAGTAGGACAGTAATGGTAGCCCCATATTTCTCTTAGCACAGGTTGATTGGGATGATGATGTGACTCTGGCTTCCCTTACTGAATGCTTATTCTGGGTTAATCAGAAAGTTTTGAGGTAAGACATACTGTAGAAGGTTATATACTAAAAGTGTATTGTGCAAAATCTGGTGCAACTCTTCATAGAAACCAATCAGCTTCCAGGTTTTATTGCCAAAGCTTAACCTCCCTGGAGGTATTCCCGAGTGTAGCTCGGGGTAATGTTTCAGCACCATAAGCGGTAACCCCGAGCTACACTCGGGAATATCCTGCAGCGTTGCTCTGGGATCTCTTCTTCTCTTACCTTGTCCTTCGCTCCCACGATGTCCCTCCTGCAGTGTCCCAATGCCGGCATCTGTCTTCTGGGTTCCGTTCCCTGCGATGTCAGGACGTACGGGGGATGGAACGGCGGGAAATTTGAAAGTTGTAAAAGTGACATTCACTAAATTCACTAAAATCACATAGTATAACATTACTGTATCAAAGCATTTCACATACATTGTGTCCCTACTGCTTTGTCCTGTGCCCTGCCTGCATTTTGACTGTTCTTTCTGCCTGGAAACTGAGAAACGTCCATGGCGTCCAAAAAGCATCACTTTAGGTCAAAAGCGGTTTTAGACCAGCTAAAGAGCAGCGATAGTAAATCAGAACAACTTGCAGAATTGAGTGATGATTTGTGGGGAAATTTGTCATCAGACACTGAAAACGATTTTGCGACTAAGATCAGCGATGTGCAAACTTGGCGCTATATTTCAAATTTCAGTGTTTTTGGTTTGATTATATTATTGAATTAAATTTATTATTATTATTATATTATTATTTTTATGATTATTTATTAAATTATAATTTATGATTTCGTGTTTCAGATTTTATCATACCCGGAATGTTTACTAGACTCTTGTTCGGACAGATTTCAGTGAGTTATTCCTAAAAATTACAGCCTACAATACAAAGAATACATATTTCCATGCAAAAAATATACTGCTTTGAGCACAGAAATACTGACATAATCAGACCACTAGGGAGGTTAACTGTACAAGCTGGAAGCTGATTGGCTACCATGTACAGCTGCACCAGATTCTGAGTGCACCATTTTTAGTAAGTCTCTTTCATAGTCAAGCAATTAGCACTTGCTTAAAAAGGAACTTCACTTGCACAGTATTTGCCTCCCGCTGCTCCTCTTCTGTGCCACCATCTTTAAACATCCAGTGTGTGTGCAGATGTGCCACAGGCCTCTGCCAGGAATTCAAAACCATGTCTGCACAAGCATAGGTGATTCCCATGCATGGGCATAGATACTGCTGGGCAGGGGTGGACTGACAACTCATGGGGCCCCCGGGCAATAGGGGATCATATGGCCCCTGTGTCCTTGGCAAAACTCAAAAAAGCCTATGAAAAAGGTACCAGGGGCATTTCATGGGGCCCCCTACTGACCCCGGGTCCTCGGGCAGTGCCCGAGTTTCCAAATGGTCAGTCCGCCCCTGCTGCTGGGAACATGTAGAGACTTGAGACAACTGTAAGCATGCACAGGAACCCCCTGCACATATGTGGGACCCCATGTGCATACACAGACATGACACAGGTCTCTGCTGGTACTAGATGTGTGCATTTTGTGTTGAATCAATTTTTGTTTGAAAATTTGATTTTCGAAGATTCGGATGTATAGGATATCTCTGAATATATAGAACATCTCTGAATATATCCCTGAATGGACATAGTAATGAATGTAAAACGAACCTGAAAAAAGTTATAACAAAATCAACGGATGCATTCATTTCATTTGTTTCATTCAGATGACGTCACATGATGCAATAGCAGTTCGGGCCCATGTTGAAATTAATTCATTTTTCAAATTTGTGCGATAATTCAGATTCAAGTAAATTTGTGATTTAAAGTGGAGCTTCACTTTCTCAATCAACACTGACTATTTTTAATCCTTATGCTGCTAGCATTAGTAAATAGATAGGAAAGTATATCATATTTGCTTGTTTTAACATTTTATTTGCATCCCTTCATTTACTTTCTGGCTTCCATGCCTAGACAAATGATGTCATACATCCCAAGAGTCTTCAGGAGGGGAGGGAGGAGTCTCAGCTCAGCCAATGCCTGAGCTAAGGACAGATGGATTCCAGGAAGTAACTGCTACACAAACCTTTTGGCAAAATAGAAAATTTCATGAACAAGGTGTCCACCAAAAAGTGGTTACAAAAAGGACCAATGTGGTAAACCATGCATAAATATTGCAAAAAACAGTATTTATTATTATAGTAATAAGTATACATGCATAGAAAATGCCAACCATATAACAACAAGGCAATTGAACAAACACCAATATCCGTTACCTTACACCAGACAACATTGTCTGTACCCCCTGAAAAACAATTAGAATGAGCCATGATGTCAGGGTATGGCCCTATGTTCAGGAGTATAGTTAGCCAAGCAGCAACTTGAATACCGGTCGTCTGTCAGGCTACTACTCATCTAAAGGACCCTTATTGTTTTTACATGCATCTTCTGCCCTTACTCAAGATGGCCATTGCCAGAAATACCAGGGGGTGTTTTTCAAAATTAATTTTCAGCAAAAAAAAAGCATGGAGACATGGATGGATGGAGGAATTCGTTTTGAATATTAATAATGAATTATATAGCATTTTGGGTTTGTGGCACTCAGAAGCAATGCAGTTCCACTTTAAATTGATTTTGTAATTGTCACAATCGGCCAGTTCAGTTCCACAGCCAAGTACAATTCTTAGGTTTGGAAAATTCAGAACCGCCAAATTTTTGATTTATTCTGTTGCTTCCGAAAAGATCAAATCCTTATGAAAAGTTTTCATACACATTAATATCAAATCCACCTAAAATATATAGCAATCTTCTGAAAAAAAAAAACTGCAAAATTGATCTAATTCACCTAGACCAGCAACGGGCAAACTACGGCCCGCGGGCCGTATACGGCCCGGCGGACCTTTTAATCCGGCCCGCGGAGCTAGGCTCCTCTCACAGTCCGCCCTGAAGACCGGTGTAGCAAAATCTGTCTCCTATGAGGATCTGTCCCCCCTCGACGTATCTGCGCATGTGCCGCAGATCGCCGATCGGCTGCTAATGCCTGAAACTGGCACATGCGCAGATACGTCGAGGGGGACAGATCCTCATAGGAGACAGATTTTCATGCTACACCTGAACGGCGCGGGACACGGCGAGAGGAACGCGCGGAGAAAAGGTAAGTGAATTGACACAGGGGGGACTTGGGGACTTAATATGGGGAATTAATTACTATAGGAGGGATGAATTACTATATGGGGGATGAATTACTATAGGGGGGATGAATTACTATATGGGGGATGAATTACTATATGGAGGATGAATTACTATATGGGGGATGAATTACTATGGGGGATGAATTACTATAGGGGGGATGATGAATTACTATAGGGGGGATGAATTACTATATGGGGGATGAATTACTATAGGGGGGATGAATTACTATATGGGGGATGAATTACTATGGGGGATGAATTACTATGGGGGATGAATTACTATATGGGGGATGAATTACTATGGGGGATGAATTACTATATGGGGGATGAATTACTATGGGGGGTGAATTACTATGGGGGGATGAATTACTATATGGGGGATGAATTACTATATGGGGGATGAATTACTATGGGGGATGAATTACTATATGGGGGATGAATTACTATGCTTACTATGGGGGAATATTACTATACTTACTATGGATGACACATACACATCATTCATTTACTCTTGGTCCGGCCCCGGGTCCAATATATGAACCCATTGCGGCCCTCAAGTCAAAAAGTTTGCCCACCCCTGACCTAGACCAACGAATATACAAAGCAAATCCCGAAAACAGATCAGTTCAACATAACGAATATGACAAACAAAATCCTTCAATGAACAAATGCATCCAAAACTATACAAAAATGTGCGTGCATAGCAATCCATAAGGACATAAGGGAATTATTAACATGACACAAAAATCCTTAAAAAAAATGAAAGTGTGTTTTTTAAATATACATCATAAATAGATCTTCTAACATTCATCATAAAGAGAACTTGTGGGGGGGATTTACTAAAACTGAAGAATGCAAAATCTGGTGCAGCGTACACATGTCTAGCAAGTACCCAGATACATGGAAGAGATTTGCAGCACATCTACACATGTGCAGAATGTCACAGTGGGGTTGATTTACTAAAATTGGAGAGTGCACAATCTGGTACAGATCAGCTTCCAGGTTTTTTTGGTCAATGCTTAATTGAGCCCTGGTTCACACTGATGCGGTGCGGAATTTGCAGCATTTTCAGTGCAAATTCCACACCGCATCAGAATTGCACGACATTCATGCGAACCGCTGCGGGTGTGTATGTTAACCCCCCGAAAGCGGTCCACTTAACGTGGTGCGATGTGAAGAATTGGATCGCATAGGTGTGAATTTTAGTGTGGACCCAAAAGAGGGTCCTGCACGTTTTTGGTGCAGGTGCGGTACAAATAGAACTATACAAAATGTATGTCTGCAATTGCACCGCACACAAATCGCATGTAATTTGCACAGGAATGTGGTGCGGTTCCTGTGCAAATCACATGTGATATACAGAGCTGCACGTATGTGAACCCACACCCAACAAGTTGAAGTTAGAAGCCGATTGACATATTTAGATAAAGAAGGAAGGTGTATTTTTGATAAATCTAGTTATTTTTGTAGACACGTTTAAACATTTTTACCTTTGGATGATTCGTATCGTAAAAATCAAACGTTCCAAGCTACATCAATTCATCTTAATGGCATTACTCAGTTTGTGAACAAACATACAAGAAAGTGCCACATAGTCACGCAATGATAATAAGGATAATAACATTTCACATCTGCCTCTATCTCCAGGAATGTTCAAAGTTTATTACTTAAAAGACGTACTCTTCATAAACATACTATTTTTAACTGCTGATCTGAGCTTTCACTCAAATCTTACTTGTCTGTTCTTGTTCAGTCTTCATAATAATTGAACATATCTACCATTCTGCTATGGGATGCAGTTACCTTTCCACTCCGAAAAATTAATCTTCACTAAAAAATGTTTGTAGAGAGGATGACCATGTGTTCTTTTCTTACTGTATTAAGAAACACTCGATCATTTACATTTGTTACTTTCTTCAATATAATTTTAGACCTAACTGGATTATAACAGAGAAGTGTGCAATTTGCTTTACCGAGAAAAAACAAAATTGACATAATGGCTAAAGGGGTTTGCTGTCTTAGGTCTTTTTCATACAGGTGGTCGGGGGCCATAAAAACAGCTGACTGAGATGTGGTTTTTACTGCCCCCAGACACCCCCACTTAAAATACAGCTGTTGGGGGCTGTTCATATGCCGCATCTGCAATGCTTTGCATCACACCCCCTGAAGATGTAATGTAGCATGTCGACTTTTTCAAAATTGGTCATTCAAGACAAACGGGCTACACAAGCCAAATGCATTAG